GACCTTGTAGTACCATATCACCCTATTAGAGCGCTCCGCTCTCGCTCTGCAGGCCTACTTGTTGTTCCTAGAGTATTTAAAAGTAGAATGGGAGGGAGAGCCTTCAGTTTTCAGGCCCCTCTTCTGTGGAACCAGCTTCCAGTTTGGATTCGGGAGACAGACACTATCTCTACTTTTAAGATTAGGCTTAAAACTTTCCTTTTTTCTAAAGCATATAGTTAGGGCTGGACCAGGTGACCCTGAATCCTCCCTTTGTTATGCTGCAATAGATGTAGGCTGCCGGGGGATTCCCATGATGCATTGAGTTTTTCCTTTCCAGTCACCTTTCTCACTCACTATGTATTAATAGACCTCTCTGCATTGAATCATATCTGTTATTAACCTCTGTCTCTCTTCCACAGCATGTCTTTATCCTGTCTTCCTTCTCTCACCCCAACCGGTCGCAGCAGATGGCCGCCCCTCCCTGAGCCTGGTTCTGCCGGAGGTTTCTTCCTGTTAAAAGGGAGTTTTTCCTTCCCACTGTCGCCAAAGTGCTTGCTCATAGGGGGTCATATGATTGTTGGGTTTTTCTCTGTATCTATGAAGCGCCTTGAGGCGACTTTTGTTGTGATTTGGCGCTATATAAATAAAATTGAATTGAATTGAATTGAATCTTATATATAGTACATAGACTACGAGCGTGAGATTTGTGGCAATATAGTGTAGTGTAAAGCGTTTGTCCTTTGAGTGACTGACTAAGCTGCTTCTGTCCCCGTTTTTTCCAATCGACCAGTTGAATGAAGGGAGAAAGGAATAAAACCTTTGAGCATGTGTTCCAGTGGCGCAATCGGTTAGCGCGCGGTGCTTATATGACAGTATTGGGCTGAGCTATGCCGAGGTTGTGAGTTCAAGCCTCACCTGGAGCATCAACTTTAAGCTAATGCTTAGTTAATGAAAAAGATAAATGCTGAGCTCACTAAAAATGTCAACAGACTTTATAACATTGTTAAAATGAACAACATTCAAAATAAAGATTAAGAAATCCAGACTTATACCTCTCTGTGTTTGTTCTGCTATTGTTTGTTTCTGTTTACTTTAACAGCTAAAATTCAGTGGCAACTCTATGGGCTCAAATTGTGGTCATAAATATTTTGTACTTGTAAATCAGGATTTGTATGTGTAAAAAGAATTTGTGTGTGTGTGTGTGTGTGTGTAAAAAATGTTTGTGTGTGAACTTAGCCAAAAAATACGTGTGAAACTCTGCAAGTTACAAGTATGAATTTTGACCCTACTTTTCTTCCTTTCATCTGATTGGCCAATGTCATGTCAATCACAAATTTAACTATCCAATCAGAGAACAGATGGGTTTGGCTATTGGAGGGGTGCTTTATGGAGCTTCAGGTCCTTGAAGGGAATAAATGCCCTTTTACATGCCCTTTTTCCTTCATCACCATGAAGGAAAACAGTCTGTGGTGGTCTGAGTTTGGTGATTTTTGTGTCACAGGTTTACATGCTTAATACAGGGACTTCCACAACCTTTTCAACAGCGCTGCGGACCATGGGGGGGAATGACAGTTCTGGAAATGACAGTCTTCACTGGTGGGGATAGTTACAAAGCTTTCTTCGTTACGAATTAGCATGCATGTTTTTATTGAACATTTGAAGAGCTAGCAAAAAAAAATCAGAAACTCTTGCAGAGCACATAAAGTCTGAGATAGAAACGACAAGGAGCAGGTGCCTCTAGTACAGGTAGAGCTGCTGCAAAAACCCACAGAGCTCAGCAGCCAGTCCAACAAATTCTGGATCCTTGGCTTTTAGTTAGCATTAACAGCACATCCTGCGTCCGATGTGAAAGGACCTTTATGCTGAGCACTGTGACTCACAGCAATGGTCCCGGGTCAGCCCTTACTTTGTGTTAAACTAATCCTAAAGTAATAATGGTATTTCTAACCACTGATATACCACAGATTTATCCTTTCAACCACTGCTGAACGTTACGGGACCTAGCTTCTATCGGACATTTATATAGAGATCCTTCAGCTTCAAACTGTATTACCCTTTAAGGACCTGCAGTTGAAAAAAGCGCCCCTCTGACAGCCAAACCCATGTGTTCTCTGATTGGATAGTTAAATTTGTGATTGACATGACATTGACCAATCAGATGAAAGGAAGAAAAATAGGGTCAAAATTCGTACTTGTAAGTTGAAACTTGAGTGCGAGAGTTTCACAGGCATTTTTTGGCTAAGTCCAAACACAAATCTTTTTTACGCACACACAAATTCTTTTTACACATACAAATCCCAGTTTACAAATACAAAACTGATTTACAAGTACAAAATATTTATGACCACAATTTGAGCCCATACAAATCGTCCTATCTTTGTTAATCTGAGTTAGAAGCATACTTTAATAGCTAAAATTCAGTGGCGAACCATTCTACCTTTGTTAATAAGAGCTAGAAACATACTCTGACGGGTAAAATAAAGTGCCAAACCATGCTACCTTTGTGAATGTTACCTACAAGCATACTTTATCTGGTAAAATGAAGTGACAAACCATCCTGGCTTTATCAATATGAGCTAAAAGCATACTGTGATGGGCAAACATAAGTGGCAAACTGTCATACCTACTTAATTTTGTGCTGGAATTACTCTGTAACAGCAGAAATGTGCATAAACTACTTACGGTAGGATGTTTTGCCAAAGTAGGATGGTTTGTCAGAACACCGGCTAACCTCCACACCACATGCCCGCTGGACCTGCTAGCTGCTCCTTCCGCTCCAGACTGCTATTACAATGAATCTATCGATTAATCCTATATATAGTACATAGACTACAAGCGTGAGATTTGTGGCAATATAGTATAGTGTAAAGTATTCTTTCTATGAATGACTGAGCAAGTGGTTACTGTCCCCTCGTTTTTTCCATTAGACCAGTTGAATGAAGGGAGAAAGGAATAAAATCTTTATGTATGTGTTCCAGTGGCGCAATCGGTTAGCGCGCGGTACTTATATGAAAGTATTGGGCTAAGCTATGCCGAGGTTGTGAGTTCAAGCCTCACCTGGAGCATAAACTTTGAGCTAATACTTATCTGATGAGAACAGATAAATGCTGAGCACACTGAAAATGCCAACAGACTTCATTGCATCTTTAAAAACAAGCAACATTCAAAATAGAGATTAAGAAACTCAGAATTGTACCACTCGTTGTTTGTTCTGCTTCTTTTTTGTTGACCAATGTGAGCTATTAACCATCAAGATATAGTTTTTCCTTCAAAGTCAGATTTTTGGCTGTATGTGTGTGTGTGTGTACCTTTTTTGTCCTCAGACCGCAGGGCGTAAGGCATATCATTGGTTCGCCAAGTTGGGCACCAATCACCATGAGAAAATGTGTGTGAAACTAAGATGATTATGATTATATGAAGTATATATTCATGTTGTGTTTAAACTGGGCTGAAGGTTTAAGTTAATCTCAGAGTTACTTCCACCAGTTTCCATACAAAATGGGAAACCTGAGAGAAATTCTTCTTCTACTTCTTTATACGGTTTATTGGCAGTTGGCAAACAGCAAAATAGAGCATTACCGCCACCAACTGGTCTGAGAGAAAATGCCGCAGTACCAGCTGGCTGACTCTTGAGGTTTATTGCTGATTGACAGCACCTGTGTGAAGTAGTGCTCGAAGTGTGTATAAAAGCAGCAGGTGTATTTTGCTCCAGTATGGGCACCTTTTCTGTTGTTATACCAGTTAGACAGAAAACTCATCATTTACGGTTGTGCACCAGTTTCGAGAATGGGTAAGACTTTTTCTTCCTGGTAATTGCTGCAACTTGTTTGGTCAAAGGAGTGTAAGGTTTCTGTGCTGAATGGAGCTTTATGTTTTGTTTTGTTTTATTCTTTGGCTTTGTAGCCAAGAAAGTGCTGATTGTGTATGCCCATGAGAGCCCTGCCTCCTTCAATGCTGCTGCCAAAGATGCTGCTGTGGCAACCTTGACTGCTCAAGGCTGCACTGTAGAGGTGTCTGACCTGTATGCCATGAAGTTCAAAGCTGCTGCTACTACTGAGGACATCACTGGTATACAAATATTCTGCAGGTATAGGAATGCTTTGATTGCTCTTCAGATGCAAACACTGGATTTTTGTCACAGGTGGAGTGAAGGATGCTGAGAACTTCTCCTACGCAAAGGAGATCAAATTGGCATCAGAGGAGGGCAGACTTGCAGATGACATCAAAAAAGAGCAGGAGAAGCTCAAGGAGGCAGACCTTGTCATCTTTCAGGTAGTGCCTGACTGGAAATGTGTATGGTCGGCTGACAGGTATCCACATCAAAATGACCATTAAACCTGTGTTCCCAGTTCCCCATGTACTGGTCATATGTTCCTGCAATCATGAAGGGGTGGATGGATCGTGTGTTGGGCTTTACCTACGCACAGGAGAAGCGGTACAGTGAGGGGATCTTCAAGGTGAGAGCTCCACCAACATGTCTGTGTTCAGGCTGTGTCCTCTCCCTCTTTGCTCACTCCTTGCTCTCTGTACAGGACAAGAAAGCCATGCTGTCCTTCACCACTGACTGTCCTGAATCTGTGTACAGTGACACTGGCATCAATGGTGACATCAATGTCACACTGTGGCCACTGCAGGTGAGGTCTCACTATAAACGGAGCCAAGCATGAAATGATCTGTCATGTAGTAACAGCTGCTCCTCCCTGTGTGCAGAACGGGATCCTGAACTACTGTGGCTTCCAGGTTTTTGCCCCTCAGATCTTCTGGGATCCTGCTACTGGTTCTCCTGAATCTCGCAGCTCCATGCTGGAGGGCTGGCGCACACGGCTGCAAAACCTCTGTGGGGAAGCCACTGTGTACTTTGCTCCCTTGGACTACTTTGACAAGGAGAAGGGTTTCCTGCTGAAGCCTGAGGTCAAAGAGAAATATGCCAGCAAAGAATCTGGCCTCACAGTGGGGATCCACATGGGCAAGCCACTGCCAGCCAACAGCCAGACCAAGGCCAGGGTCTGATGGAGTGGGTCCATGTAATGTCTTAAAATGTGTGCTGCAATAAAAAAGCTGCTTTATTGTAACTTCAGTTTGAGCAATGAGTTTCAAATGCACCACTTGGTTTCATACAGTTCAGCCATCTAGAAAATGGTACATATACATAACAGGATACACAAAGCTGTCTCTGTAGGCTTTCAAGACTGGTGTCATTATCCAACACTGACCAAATTGCTGCTTGGGGTTTTGTTGCCCGCTAGAAATGTGAGCTGGCAATGGTAACTTGGAACTGCACACAAACTGATGCAATGCATGGTGCATTTGGTTAGCTTCTCTACATTATCCTGCTGAGTAACAGCTTGATCCAGCCAGCTCACTACACCATCTATAACGTGATGGTGTTCTCCGCTTAATGGTTTACTTGGGAACACTTGACTGCTGCTTTCCTGTACTGTCTCTCTATTCCAGCAGCACCACTGCTGGAATTGTGGTGGGAAATGAATTAAATCAGTATCTTTGGCTAATTCTTGGTAAATGGGTAATCATACGCTTTTCCACTACCAAGAACTACAGAAGCCAACCACCTACCAGGATTTGATCATTCATTGTTATGGCTACCAAGGTTCTGCTTGACTTGCATCAATACTGTAATTAAATCTGTCAAAGGTTAGTGTTGAAAACAAGTATTGATATGATGGTCGTTTCTTGCCGTGGTAGCGAGCTAATCAACATTTGTGTCGTTCACTTAGCTACTGTTTAAAAAGTTAGAGCCAAGGAAGTGAGAATAGCAATGACATGCGTGCAGTTAGGTCCATTAGTATAGTTAATTGCTGCTAACACGTTATTAGAAAACAGTATAACAGAGAAGCACATTTCATTTACATGAAAAGAAGTACACACAGACTTCAGTTTTCTTTAATCTATTTTAGTTTTGTAAAATAAGAGTTCAGGATACAGTGGTAAAATACAGGGATACAAAGCCTTTATTGTCACATGGTTAAATTCTTTATCCATTAGTTCCATATCTATTAGGTAAAATACACTAAAAACTACAAAAATTAAAGAATAAAAGGGAAATATGAAAAAAGGAAACAGAAATGATCTGAAACAAACGTGTACAGACTGAAAAAACATTTGTAAGATAGATGTATAGAAAAAAAGACTGATTTCCCACATATATTAATGCATGGATCTATCCATGAATCCTCTATATAGTACATAGACTACAAGCGTGAGATTTGTGGCAATATAGTATAGTGTAAAGTATTCTTTCTATGAATGACTGAGTGAGTGGTTACTGTCCCTTTTTTCCATTAGACCAGTTGAATGAAGGGAGAAAGGAATAAAATCATTGTGCATGTGCTCCAGTGGCGCAATCGGTTAGTGCGCGGTACTTATATGACAGTATTGGGCTGAGCTATGCCGAGGTTGTGAGTTCGAGCATCAACTTTGAGCTAATACTTATCTGATGAGAACAGATAAATGCTGAGCACACTAAAAATGCCAACAGACTTTATATCATCTTTTAAAATGAACAACATTCAAAATAAAGATTAAGAAACTCTCTGTATGTTTGTTCTGTTATTTTTGTTTCCGTTTATTTTCAATGCGAGCTATTAACCATCGAGATATAGACGTTCTTCCAAAGTTAAAGAATTTTGGCTGTGTGTGTGTGTGTGTGCCTTTTATGTTCTTATGTATAGTTTATACCAAAGGCTCTCAAACCGCAGGGCGTAAGGCAAATCATTGTTTTGCCAAGTTGGGCAACAATCACCATGAGAAAATGATGTGTGTGAAACTAAGATGATTATGATTATATGAAGTAAATATTCATGTTGTGTTTAAACTGGGCTGAAGGTTTAAGTTAATCTCAGAGTTACTCCCACCAGTTGCCAGACAAAATGGGAAACCTGAGAAAAAATCCAGCAGTAGCAGCTGGCTGACTCATGAGGCTGAATGCTGATTGACAGCACCTGTGTGAAGTAGTGCTCAAAGTGTGTATAAAAGCAGCAGGTGTGTTTTGCTTGAATATGAGTGGTTTTTCCTGTTACTACATCAGCTAGTCAGAAAACTCATCGCTTACGGTTGTGTGCCAGTTTTGAGAATGGGTAAGACTTGTTCTTCCTGGTAATTGCTGAAATCTGTTTGGCCAAAGCTGATAATCTTTGACAAGAAGAGTGAAAGGTTTGTGATATTACTGGAATTTTATCAAAACTTAATTTTTTTTTCTTTTTTTGGGGGGTGTAGCAAAGACAGTGTTGATTGTGTATGCCCATGAAAGCCCTGCCTCTTTCAATGCTGCTGCCAAAGATGCTGCTGTGGCATCTTTGACTGCTCAAGGCTGCACTGTAGAGGTGTCTGACCTGTACGCCATGAAGTTCAAAGCTGCTGCTACTACTGAGGACATCACTGGTATACAAATATTCTGCAGGTATAGCAATGCTTTGTGCTTCAGTTGTAAATATTAGTTTTATTTGCAGGTGGAGTGAAGGATGCTGAGAACTTCTGCTACGCAAAGGAGATCAAATTGGCATCAGAGGAGGGCAGACTTGCAGATGACATCAAAAAAGAGCAGGAGAAACTCAAGGAGGCAGACCTTGTCATCTTTCAGGTACTGCCTGACTGGAAGTGTCTTTGTGGTCAGCTAACGGGTGTCCACATCAAAATGACCATTAAACCTGTGTTCCCAGTTCCCCATGTACTGGTCATCTGTTCCTGCCATCATGAAGGGGTGGATGGATCGTGTGTTGGGCTTTGCCTACGCACCGGAGAAGCGGTACAGTGAGGGGATCTTCAAGGTGAGAGCTCCACCAACGTGTCTGTGTTCAGGCTGTGTCCTCTCCCTCTCTGCTCACTCCTTGCTCTCTGTACAGGACAAGAAAGCCATGCTGTCCTTCACCACTGACTGTCCTGAATCTGTGTGCAGTGACACTGGCATCAATGGAGACATCAATGTCACACTGTGGCCACTGCAGGTGAGGTCTCACTATAAACGGAGCCAAGCATGAAATGATCTGTCATGTGGTAACAGCTGCTCCTCCCTGTGTGCAGAACGGGATCCTGAACTACTGTGGCTTCCAGGTTTTTGCCCCTCAGATCTTCTGGGATCCTGCTACTGGTTCTCCTGAATCTCGCAGCTCCATGCTGGAGGGCTGGCGCACACGACTGCAAAACCTCTGTGGGGAAGCCACTGTGTACTTTGCTCCCTTGGACTACTTTGACAAGGGGAAGGGTTTCCTGCTGAAGCCTGAGGTCAAAGAGAAATATGCCAGCAAAGACTCTGGCCTCACAGTGGGGATCCACATGGGCAAGCCACTGCCAGCCAACAGCCAGACCAAGGCCAGGGTCTGATGATGGAGTGGGTCCATGTAATGTCTTGATCTTAAAATAAAGCCTGCTTTATTCAAACTTTGAGCAATGAGTTATAAATGCACCACTTGGGTTTCATACATGTTATCCCTCTAGAACATGATGTATACTACCACAATGTAATGATTGTTCTAAGTCCGTATAGGATCCAGTCATGTATGGCTTTAAATGTGATGGGGAACTGAGTTTGGGGGGGCTGGCTATGGTTCCACATGCTAATGAAAATCCCTGTTCTAATAGGAACACAGGTGTTTAGGGTTTTTCTTTTTTTGGGGGGGTGACCGTACACCAAGGTTGAAAGCAAGAATGACACCCGATTGCTACTTTAGCCCTATTGCGCCTAACTGCTTATACTACAGGCTTTGGCTGGACTTGGCATGAAAGCAGCTTTAATATCCCACTTTCAGCAGTATGTGTTCTTGCTGTCCTAGATGCACTTTACACTTTACCATTGCACTCTTGACATTTTTGTGAGGTAAAAATGTCTATTGCCACTGTGGGCTTTTCCACAATTTTGCTCCTCCCACACATGAACTGAAATCTGCTGACTGTGGTGTGAGTGCACAGGAAGAGCAAAGCATGTTTAATATTTAAAGATTGTGTTTGTCCTTTTTCTAATATTTGTACTGAAGGCTTTTAAGCATTTCTATTCCCCTGCCACCGGTTGGTCAAGCAAATCCATCATGTGAGAGAACAGATCGGTTTGGCTATTGGAGAGGGTGCTTTATGGAGCTTCAGGTCCTTGAAGGGAATAAATGCCCTTTTACATGCCCCTTTTCCTTCATCACCACGAAGGAAAACAGTCTGTGGTGGTCTGAGTTTGGTGATTTTTGTGTCACAGGTTTACATGCTTAATACAGGGACTTCCACAACCTTTTCAACAGCGCTGCGGACCATGGGGGGGTTCTGGAAATGAGTCTTCACTGGTAGGGATAGTTACAAAGCTTTCTTCGTTATGAATTAGCATACATGTTTTTATTGAACATTTGAAGAGCTAGCAAAAAAACCCCAGAAACTCTTGTAGAGTAAAGTCAGAGATAGAAACGACAAGGAGCAGGTGCCATCGCCCACGTCCTACACACCACTCTCATCCACGTGGACAAGCAACAGGGTAACTATGTGCGAATGCTGTTTGTTGATTACAGTTCAGCGTTTAACACAATAGTGCCCTGCAGACTGTTCACACAGCTCAGGGATCTGGGACTTAACAGCCGTCTGTGTGCATGGGTGTTGGACTTCCTCATTGGCAGAACTCAGGTGGTGAGGGTGGGTAGATGCGTCTCTAACAGCATCACCATCAACACAGGAGCACCTCAGGGATGTGTCCTCTCGCCACTGCTCTACTCCCTCTACACTTCAGACTGTGTGGCCACCCACGGCTCCAACACCATTGTGAAGTTTGCTGATGACACAGTGGTGTTGGGTGCCATCTCCAACAACGATGAGGCGGCCTACATGGATGAAGTGAAGAATCTGGCATCATGGTGCCAGGACAACCACCTCCACCTGAACATCGGCAAGACCAAGGAGCTGGTGGTGGACTTCAGAAGGGGTCAGCACAGAGACTACAAGCCCATTATCATCAATGGAGCTCCAGTGGAGAGGGTGCAGTCCTGTGGACATCTTGGTGTCCACATCTCCTCAGACCTGACATGGTCTGCCCACATTCAGGTCCAGACCAAAAAGGCTAGGTGTTAGGTTTTGTATTGTTGATTGTCATTTATGGTTAGAAATATTTACTCATATATGCTTAGAAGTATATAATCATTTGTAGATTGAAAGATTGTCTCATCCTAGGAGGTCTGTAACAACTCTGTGTAGCATGAAGAGGGGAGTGCGTTCACTCCTCTACAGAGTGTTCTGGCATAGATCACACACCTCCTAGGAGAGGTCGTATCTTCTCTTGCTGATATATGGCATAGCAAACACACGTATATATCTCTTTAAGTATAAGAGCCTTTTGTTCAGATGGACCTGCTGGACTCC